ATGATGATGATGAAGCTTAGGGCATGCTTGTTTATGGATTTTTTCAATCCAATTTTTTCAACTCAAATATTTAACTCAACTTTAACTCAACCCCACTATCTTTAATATTATTCATACAATACAATTAAATAATAAAAACCAATCATTCTTACACATCACATCAACTTTAATTCACTATTCATCCACTCACATAATTTTAACTACCAATCATTTCCAATCATTTATCTCCTACTTTATATCAAATCAACTTTAATCATTTTTATTTTAAATATTATTTTAATATATTTTTTAAATTTCACTAACAATTAACCACATTACTTTTTCAACTTTAACTATAGTTAACAAAATGAAATATTTTGGTTGAAAAAATCCATAAACAAGCGCCCCCTTAATTATTAAGAAGCGTTCAAGTAAAGTGTGTTTCTTGATATATGATTGGTTTCTTCATAAGTCAACTTATAAACAAATTTTCCATCGGAGCTTCCAAAAGTAGCTGAATCGCAAAAGTATGTTCGCCGGTGGTACGCCATAATTTTTTAAGAAGATTATTTCCTAAGAATATTTTTTGCCCCTATTCACCCTTATTTTCTTCGACTTTTTTAAACGTATACGATTTGACTTCAAAACACGATGGTGCAATAAGAACTCAAAATTAGTTAATGACATCTTATTTTGTTAGTATTGGTGAGGGAGGTCACCGTGGTAGGGGCACGCAGGCTTTTCGAATGACGCGTGGGTATGTGATTTTGACCACGTATTCAAAGAACGAAGGGTACGATGTTTTCAAGAATAATGTGGTGATTTGGCACCTTGATGGCCAACTGTCATGCCAACGAGGCTCGCGCGCGTGCGAATCATGAGCTTCCTAATTATTGGGAAAGTCCAAGTAGGATAGTTAATTTCAGAAGATTATTTGTTAATTGTTCTGACAACGTGTATGTATGCAGCAAGTTCGACCCTCCCAGTGAGGACAATGTCGTCGAGTTTTTTTTGTTAAAATCGACACATATACCCCTATGAGTATGTGTGTTGTGAGTGTGTGTGTGTGTGACGATTCAATGGTTAAAAAGATTTGATGAACAATGTCTTCATTTAGGGCAAATGCTGCTCAAAGGGTCATAATTTGACGAGCTAAACTAAGTTTCAGCTCGAGGCAAGATGATTTTCCGTTCGTTTAAAGCTCGAGTTTCTTGATTCATAAAAACAAGTATGAGATTCAATAAAAAGTCCGATTTGTAAAAATTCGAGTTTACTCTATTGAAACAAGTCAAACTCAAATAGCCCATCAAACTCGTTTAGTACACTAGCCGAGATGAGTTTGTTCGCAAACAATGTATTTATTTAATTATTTTATATATTTTCTTAAGGTTTTGAATGAATAGTCAAATCGAACTTATACACAATATACTAAACGAGTTGTGCCAAGTCGAACGAGCTCGAGTTGAATCGGAAGCTACTCAGCTAAGACACAACAAAGGCAGTATTGTCGTGTCGCACAAGTTCTCTTCGTCCTCTGCGAATTAATTCATTTTGTGACCTTCGAGTTGAAAAACAAAAGAGAGAAAAGAAAAAGGAGAAGGGGGAAATCAGTCGCAGTTGCAGATCGAAGCTCCACGAGAATTGAAGAAATTCCAAACAGCAGAGTTGAGTTATGGCCAGATACGACAGAGCAATCACCGTTTTCTCGCCGGACGGCCACCTTTTCCAGGTGGAGTACGCTCTCGAAGCTGTGCGCAAGGGAAACGCCGCCGTCGGCGTTCGAGGCACCGATACGATCGTGCTCGCCGTCGAGAAAAAGTCCACCCCTAAGCTGCAAGATTCTAGGTTTACTCATCTCTTTCTTTCTCACACTCACACGCACACACTTGAATTCGAGATTGTCTTAATTCATGGTGATTTCTTGTGGGCTTGATATGAGCTTCGGAATGTGATTAGGGTTTTATGGGGTGTTCTTGTGATTTTAAGTTAATTGTACTGCTGATAGTTCTGTCATCTGAAATTAGTTCTGTCTGCTGTTGTTCGGCTGTGGGTTGGTTCCTTGTTTAGTCGTGTGGATTGGAATCTTTGGGTGGGGAGTTTTCTGCAATTCACAGGAAATCGGAATTG